GCAGCAAGAGGCACTGCGGTGCAGAAACGGGGTCACCAGTGGGCTGGAAGTAGGGGCTCTGGGGTTACAGTGCCTGTGAGCGGGGGCGAGGGGGACCGCTGCAGTGAGGATGAAAGCTAAACTTGTCTTTTGCCCCGTTGCTGTTCTGTGACAGCCTTTCTAGGTCTCCAGTCCCAACCACGGACTACCAAAGGGACTTACCCTTCCAATCCACCGTCTCCACAGACCCCGCCCCCACGACCCCCGCTGCAGACCTGTTCTTAGCTTCCTGTCCCAGACCCACAGATCCCTGATTCTCTTTGTTCTAATCCTGAGTGGACACTAGCTGCACGAACGTGTAGCATCCTCCTTCCTAGAAAGAGGGGACCCAGAAGCTGGTTTCAGAAGCCCAGGCTGCAGCTAAAGCAGGACTCAGCTTGGAGGCCAGGACCCCACTTCATAAGGAGGCTGGGATGAGAGATGCTGTGCTCTTGACCTGGATAGACCCTTTGTTATTGGGGGGGGGGATCTGGGATGTCTGGTAGGTGAGCATGCTGCCTTGCTGATGACTGCGCTCGCTCCCGGTGGCTCGGGAGAGACCAAAAGGACAGGAGCAGAATACAGGGCAGGAGACGAGGCGGCCTAGTGGCCTTTCACTTCTTCCCCCTTCTTTCCCTCCTGCTTCCCCGGCCACTGGAGGACAGACGAGTGTGTTTGTGCCGTCTTGAAGCTCACGCGGGCTGCCCGGGTCACATGGCCCGGGCATGTGCAGCCTGCTCCATTTCTACCACAACAACTCGCTCATAAACAGCCCGGCTGCTGCGGCGGTGGCGGCGGAGACATGTGCAAGCGAGGGGGTGGGGCACGTGGCCCTGCCCGAGCCAAGGGAAGGACTGGATTGCTCAGCGCTGCCTCCACCCCTGCAGGCACTGGGCTGCCTAGCCACAGGAAATTCCTAGTGCTCCCTCGCTGTAGCAAAACATGTTTTGGGGGAAGTGACTTTCAATAAGGATGGAGTCAACGAACTAAATAAAAACGAGCACAGATAACCAGTCCTAGATAGACATGCTTGCCCTTACCTTGCGTGGTGGAGCGTCTGTGCAAAAGTGAGGTACTCATGATGCTCCCAGCTTCCCTCTTCCTATATAAAATTGGGGCCAACCAGGTCTTCTGGGTGAATATTGAGGTGAGGGTCTTGGATTCACTGAGGCGACCATTCTCAGATCAGTAATGGAGATTATCAGCCTGGAACCCCTAGAGAAATGCAAATTCTTAGACCCACCGGAGGCTCACTGACTCAAACGCTGGGGACAGCTCGGGAATCTGGTTTAGGACGCCCTCCAGGGATCCGTTGTGTGAGGGAAACACAGCGCTAGGTCTGAGTTCTCTCCAGGAGATACAGCCATGATCGGGGATATTTTTACCTTTCTCCAATGTGGGGCAACATCTCAGAGTTCAGCCAGCAAGCATAGTCAGATTTAGTTTGACTCCGTGCAAAACCCATTTATCGGGTTCCTCCTGTATGCCAGGATTCTGGTAATGAGGACAAATGGCACACACTGGTGGGATAGTGAGTGTCTGTGTTCTCCAGGGGAGTAGCATGCTATCTGAGGGAGAATGAAGCAGGGAGATGACTAGGTCCTCCCTTCCATCCCCTTCTTCCCCTCATACCCTTGTTCTGAGTTTCCTGTTGAAACTACTAATTAGGGGGCCAGAGATGCAGCTCTGGCTTCAAGTCTCCGCACAAAGACCTGATGAGGTGGCAGACCTTAGGACCTGCCTCAGCCCTGGCGGGTAGCACACCTTTAATCCCTGTACTCTAGAGACAAAGGCAGGGGGGATCTCTTTGAATTTAGGGCCAGCCCACTCTATACATCGGTACCCTATCTCAAAAGCAAACAAAAAACAAATCAATGCTCCCCCCCCAAGAAAAGCCCACTAAGATTGTTATTTTGTTTAAGTTTAAAAATATAAAACGCACAAGATGGGATGCCAGAATGAGAGAGACATTAACCACGGAGTTTATTCCAGGTGGGAGAGGGGGAGAGCAAGAGTGGGGGAGTCGAGACAGAGAGAGTGTAAGAGACAGAAAAGCAAGAGAGACGGTGTAAAAGTAAGAGAAGAGAGCAAAGAGCAAGAGAGTAAGTGGGCAGGAGTCTGTCTTTTAAAGGGGTCCTCTACACCGATGGGCAGACTTAGTTCTCATGGAACGCTGGGCTGAGCAGGCCAGCATGATGCTTGAACCTTTCAATTGTGATTTAATTTTTTTGAGGCTAGAGGTAGAATTGTTTTCCTTATTTATTTTTGTTTTGTCTTTCATCTATTTTGTTTTTTGAGACAAGGTTTCTCCCTGTAGCTCTGAATGTCCTGGAACTCACTCCATAGACTAGGTTGGCCTTGTACTCAGAGATCTGCCTGCCTCTTTCTCTAGTGATGGGATCAAAGGTGTGTGCCACCACCCTCTCTCATTTATTTTTATTATTTTAGTTGATGTGTATGAGTGTTTTGTCTGTATGACTGTGTACTGTATGCATGGCTGGTGTCTGTGGAGGCCAAGAGAGCAATGGGTCTCCTAAAACTGGAGTTACAGATGTGGATAATGGAAATTCAACCCAGGTCCTCTGAAAAAGCAGCCAGTAATCATAACTGCTGAAACATCTCTCTGGGCCTCCCTCTTGTATTTGCCAGGCCTGGGGATCTTGAGCTAGGTATGGTCATAGACCCTTGATTCCTCTGTGTACATCTCTCTGGTCCTCCCTCTTGTTTTTGCCAGGCCTGGGGATCTTGAGCTAGGTATGGTCATAGACCCTTGATTCCTCTGTGTGAAACTTAATGAATGAGTACACATTTGCCCAAACTCATATTGCTTAGTTCTCCAGGGTAAGAAATGGTAGGAGGAGCCAAGAAAAGGATGAGAGGCTTGGAAGTTCCTTGGGACCTGGGTCAAATGAGTTTAGCAGATAATGAACAGGAAAAGGTTTTCAATAGGAGAGGGTAAGGGATAGCACCAGCCTACCCCAAGACCCAAAATTGTGGTGAGAGGGTCTCAAGGTAAATCACAAAGGCTCCTGAGAATGAAAGCTGAGCCTGGAATGCCACTAGAGAGTGGAGGACCAGAGTCTCCCTCCTTACATAGGCACAGAAAGCAAGAAGGGAGAAGCCAAGAACAGGAGGTTCCCAGGCCTCTTTGGCTTTCCCTCCAGCACAGGGAGCTAGTCGCAGGCTCCAGCTTCTGTTAGACTCAGCTCTGACCACTTGCCTCCTTCGTTCTCCCTGCTTTCCTTTCTGAACAATATATTTTTATCTGAATCTCATAGAGCTTTCTTTTGCTTCTCTGCAAGACTTCCTCTGGGCCTGAAAGGCTCTGGGCCCAAGGAGCAGACAGCGCTGCAGGCTCAGCTGCAGTGACCTACATTGGCTCTCCCCTAGGCCTGGGGTGTGGGGGCTGAAGTTTCCAGATAGGAACTTGGGAATCTGGCACAGGTTTATAGATGACGGTGGCAGGGCCTACTGCCTGCAAAAGTGGCACTGGGGATCTGTGAGGCAGGGGAGAGGGGGCACCAGACTGAATTCTCACTCTTTATATCGGTGCCTTGGTGGACATATCAGAAGATTCTCCTCCCACAAATGCAAAAACTATTCTTGAGCTGTGCCCCCCTCAGTAGGACAGAGAAGTCCCTGTCGGACCTGGCCTCTATCCATGGGATCTGAAAGTGGTTTTTTGCAGGCTCTTCATTCTTGCTAAATGCATCCCACTCAGCTGCATCAGGCTGCAAAGATTTCCTTGGTCTTGATCTGGATGAATGAGTTCAGATTTCAGCTGATTTATTTCAGAGAAAATGGAGGCCGAGTCAAGGTCGGGTACTCAGAAATCGGCTTACTCCTGGGTTTAACTATATAGAGACTTTAGACCCAAGGTTCTGTGAAAGAACTTGAGGGGATGAATTGTCACTAATAATTGATGGCTTGAGACCCTGACAACCGAATCCCTCCTCCTAGACGGGGAAGGCAGGTCCTGAAATAGGTGTCTTCCCTACCTATTGTGAGCCATAGCGCACAGGGTGATCACCCGCCTCCACATTGTAGATGTTTTTACTCAGCCTAGGAAATCCTATTGGGGTGGAGTGGGGGGGGGGGGGAAATTAAACTGTGATCACAAAGAGTGACTTCAGAGGCAGTGACTTCAGAGCCTTTCACTTAGCGGAGACGAGTGGGGGAGGGGAGACAGGCTGTGCAAGACTGGGTGTTATTCTTTGCCTGAACCTTTCACTGGGTGGCTCTGTGTCCAAAGGGCTTCCCCTTGCCAAGCCCCACCCCAAAGCCCAGGAAGTCCACCGCTTGGCACCTAGCCAAGGCAGAGCATTCCTCAACCTTCAGACCGGCTGTGGGATGGTTCCCACAGGAGGAGATGGGAGGGGAAGAAAATGGTCAGTGAAGAAAGAGGTGACCCTAGTGTGTGGAAGGTGGGGGTGAAAGGTCAGCGTTAGTTTGCAGTGCCACGAGCCCCCGTTAGTGGAGATGAGATTGGATGCTTTCCAGCGGCTATGCCAGGGGTCTACAGACTGCCGAGCAGAGGACCCTTGTGTCAACTCTCCGTGCAGGGTCATCCTTGACGTCCTAAGTTGTCCTCTACAAGCTACTTCAGTTTGCTTGTTGTCTCTCTCCCTTACTCTGGTTGAGCTTGGGCGCCCCCGAGTGGTCAAAAGCAGGAACTGCAGTTGGGCTGGGGGGAGGCGCTCACTGGGTCTCCCTTTGCCTCTGCCCCTCCCTTTTCCTCAGCCTAAGCCCTGGACTCTGGAAATAGCACCTGGTAATGGGAGCGTTGACAGATGCTGAGTTATAGGAGAGCAAGTGGCCCAGCCAGAGATTTCAGTCTTCTGACTTGATGGCTTTGGGACTCTTTCCCTTAAAAGTAGATGCTCCAGGCCAAGTGTGACAATAGATGCCTGTAATCCCAGCCCTTGAGAGGTCAGGGCAGGAACACTGGGCATTCCAGGCTGGTCTGAGCTAATAGTGAGACCATGAGAAAAATGGAGGAGGATTGTGGTCAGTGTGATGGGGGTCTCAGGACTCGCCCTATTTGTTTCCTCCACATTTCCACACTTCATTCCTTAACATGTCCGAGTGTTAATATGTTTCTTAGCTACAACAGGGCCCTTTTCCTTGGGCTCCCAGGCTTGTCTTGGGCTATGACTTCTGTGACATTGGACTCACTTCTGGCCCCACAATCATTCCATTTTTTTTTCTTTGTTTTTTTAAAACAGGCTGGAGAGCCCTCTTGCTGACAACAGTGGAGGCCAGAAGAGGGCATTGGATCCCCTGGAACTGGAGTTACAGATGGTGATTAGCCACCATGTGTGCTGGGATTCTTCCTCTAGAAGAACTAATGCTCTTGACTACTGAGCCATCTCTCCATTCCCTCTGGCCCCAACCTTCCTACCTCAACCTCTCCAGTACTGGGACTCCCCACTATGCCAGCCTAATAAATTTACCCTTTCTTCCCCACACCACTTAGCACTACCTTTTTGTGAATACTGTCCACAATCCTCCCCTCCCCAATTCTATAACCCCAAGTCCCCATCCAACTCTTTATTTCCAGAACAGGAAACGGGAGATTTCTGCCCCATTGTATTTTGCTCAAGGTATTTTCCACCAAATAAGTTGAGAACTGCAGTGTTCAGAAGAGAGAGACTTCAAAACAGGGGGAATGAGCACAAGAGTACTGTCCTCTTATTTATTGGAGACAGGTTCTCTATGTAGTCCTGACTGTCCTGAAGCTTGCTATGAAGACTAGGCTGTTTTCAAACTCAAGAGATCTGGCTGTCTCTCCAGTGCTAAGACTAAAAGCATGGGCCACCATGCGGGGCACTGGGCTAATTTTCACTGCTTGCTCCTTCTTCCAACACCATCTCCTGGGGCCTCCATTCTAAGCAAGTGCTCCTAATGCTGAAGGGGAGATACTGTTTTAGAAACCTGTTAGCTTGACCAGTCTGACTGAGCTCATAGAACAAATTACACTGTTGTTGGGGAAGGCCATTTAGGAACAGTCCACCCATTGCAGAGAGGCACTGTGCCCATAACCCAGTTCATAATTAGGGAGTGCTTGTCTCTCAGCTCTTTATCAACACTATGAAATCGAAGGGAAGCAGAGTTGGAGTAAAGGTAACCAAATTACCTAACTTCACACCAAGACAACTTTCTTTTCTTTTTTGGGGGGGCAGGGTGGGGTGGGGAGGGGTTCGAGGCAGGGTTTCCCTGTGGCTTTGGAGCTGTCCTAGAACTCACTCTTGTAGACCAGGCTGGTCTCGAACTCACAGACATCCCCCTGCCTCTGCCTCCCGAGTGCTGGGAGGCATGCACCACCACCGCAGGGCGGGCCGACAATTTTCACTGATGGAAGCTGTCTTGGATTTGTCCCTTTTCTTAAAGAGGGCACTGGGGATTGAATTTAGGGGCTCCAGCTCCTATCATTCAGCTATGTTACCACTGAGCTAGATTCTCAAACCTTTTACAATTTTGTAACAGGGTGTGGCTAAATAGCCCAGACTAACCTGCGTGTGGCTACCCTCTTCGGCCTCCCCATGAGTCCAGATTACTCGTGTTAACTATACAGGAGTCTTCTGTGTAACCCTTTAAGTTATTTTTGTTTGTTTTGTTTTTTGACAAAGGATCTCACTATGTAGTTTTGGCTAGTCTGGAACTAGCAATACAGACCAGACTGGCCTCGAACTCACAGATCTCCTGCCTGCTCCGCCACTCAGAACCCTAACCCTTAGTCTTTAACCAGAGAACTACTTGGGTAAACAGTCGTCTCCAGCTGAAGCATCCAAGTTGCCGTATAGTACGTGAGCTCTCAGTAACGCCCCCTAGGCCAGGCTGCTGCCCCAAAGTCACCCTGAAGAGGGCACCTTTGTTCGCTGGCTAGCGGATGCCAGCTACAAGGGGGCCTGAGGAAGGAAACACAACAATTGACCACGTGTTAGGGGTGGTTCTCGCAGAGGCTGCTGGGACAGGGAAGGGAGGTCCACGTGGAGTGGGCGGGGCGCTCTGAAAGTTTTGGCGGGGGGCTGCCTTATAGAGGGGAAACAAACAAAATAAATGAAAACCCACCCGCATTTGAATTGTGATCTTAATGGCGAAGGAAACTGGGGAAAGCAGGTGGGTGCTCCCGGTCTCCCACTCCCGCAGGCCCGCTGGAGCGCAGGGCAGGGCTGCTGGCAGAAAGCTCCCTGAGCCCTGCAGACCTTCGGCGGAAGCTTCTGGCTCCCGACTGGTAGGTTTCCTAACCTCAATCGAGAAGGGAGACAAGGTGTCGAACCCGGGCCGTGGTCTCCCTGCGGTGCTTTGTGGGTGGGACAAAAGCTATAATGAGAGTCACACAACTCCAATTTTTATTTACCTTTCCTGAGCACCTCGGGAAGCCGCCCGGGAGACTCCTCTCCCTGGAGAGAAGCTAAGACAAACGTTGGCCTTCTTACTACCCAGTCCTGCCCCCTGTTAGCAACCTCATTGTCAAAAATGGAAGAGACCAGGCAAGATGAGCTCCTCCAATCAATTTTCCTTCTCCTGGGGCTGTGGTGGAGGTCGGAGTGGTGCCTGAGAAAATCACACCAGGGCAGGTAAAATGGCTTGCAGAATGCTCTTCACACCACGATGCCCTTCAAAGAATGGGGATAATAGGAATGGAATTCTGCAATGCCATAAACCTGCGTAGGATGGTGAAAGACTTGCTATTAACTCCAGACTTGCAGCCACTGGGCAAAGTGGTTATCATTCCACTAGAGATAAAATGGTTCAGGGACTTGATTTATGGGTATTTGGCACTGCTTCTCTTATGTTCCCTCGCAACTGACTCTGCTTTTAGTTTTTTGTTGTTTTAGGTCACTGTTTCTCTCATATTGTAGCCCTGGCTGACCTGGAATTCATTATGTACAACAGGCTGACCAATTCTCGGGCCTCACCCTCCTTCCAGGGCTGGGATTAGGGGCGTGCCTCACCATACCTCTCCTGGCCTTTACACTTTGAAACCTCACTTCCTTATGTGTTTAAGTTCCTGGGTCACCAAAGCTTAGGCAAGAATTCTAATGAAAGTAATTCTTTGCCTGGCCTGGAGGGGCACACCTGTAGTACTAATCTCAGCACTTTGGGAGGCGGTAAGGTCAGAAAGAGTTAAGAGGTCAGCCTGGGTTACAGAATGACACCCTGTCTCTAACTAACTAAATAAATAAAAATCTGAAAATCAAAACCCAGAAAGACCTTCCTAAGTTTCTGGTGGTCTATCCTTTGGAGTTGAGCTACAATCAGACTGCCAATCCAAAGATTCCAGTCTTTGGGAGAAAAGTATGTTTATTTAGTTTGATGCAGTGAAATTGTAGACTTTGGATTTTAGGGCTGAAAAGTTTCCAGGAAAAATAAAGTTGGGGACTGATGTAGGATTACCAGCTGGTAATTTATCTGCGGGTAAAGACATCGTTCATTTCACATAAGACATATTTTAGGGCAATGGATCGAAAGTTCACAATTCAAGGTCAGACTGGGCAATTTGGTGAGACTGTCTCAATGTGTCAAAATCAGGCTGGACATATTGCTCTATAGAACACTTGCCTAGCATTCATGAAGTCCTGGTTCAGTGTCTAGGACTTTTAACAAACACAAAAGAGCTAAATCTCCATTAGAAACTGCTCCCACACACCTTGCACCAATGGCTACAGGTACTAGACAGTGCTCTCCCACCCACAATTTATCCTAGACGTCTCTAGTTCAGTCTGTGTACCCCAGATCAGGGATGGCACCAGGAAGAGAAGATCTAACTCAGCATTTAAAAAGCAATTATAGGGGCTGGAGGGATGGCTCAGAGGTTAAGAGCACCAACTGCTCTTCCAGAGGTCCTGAGGTCGATTCCCAGCAACCACATGGTGGCTTACAACCATCCCTTATGAGATCTGGTGCCTTCTGCTGGTGTGCAGATATACATGGAAGCAGAATGTTGTATACATAATAAATAAATTTTTTAAAAAAGCAATTATATAAACTTGCTCTTTCTGTGTACCTCAGCTGGCTTTTTTTTTTTTTTTTTGAGACAGGGTTTCTATGTGGTTTTGGAGGCTGTCCTGGAACTAGCTCTTATAGACCAGGCTGGTCTCTGAACTCACAGAGATCCACCTGCCTTTGCCTCCCGAGTGCCGGGATTAAAGGCATGCACTACGAAAGCCCCACTGGCTTCTAACTTTTAATCCTCTTGCTTTCATCTTGTGTGTTGGGATTACAGGTATGTACTTTCAGGCCTGGTGGCACAACACCTTTTGGTTTGCCTGACAAACGAAGATTTGTTACTAGCACTCTGGAGGCAGAGGCAGGCCAGTCACTGTGAGTTCCAGGCCAGCTTGGGCTACATAGTGAGATCCTGCCACAAACAAACCAAGAATTTGTAATAGTTGCAAATTTTAAAATGAGATTATAAATTAAGATTACTAGAACTAGGACTGGAGATATAGATCAGTTGTTAGAGTACTTGGCCTGTGGTGAATGTGTACAATAATAAATGCCTAATAAATACAGCACTCAGGAGATAAAGGCAGGAAAATAATAAGTTCAAGGTCCTTCTCAGTTACACAGTTAATTAGAGGCTACCTGGGATGGACACACACACACACACACACACACACACACAGACACACACACCTCATCTTAAAACTCCAAACAAAATTATGAGAAATACAAATACCACATAATAAAGTTATATTGGAAAATGACCTCATTCATATCATTTCTGGGGGCTAAGCCGGGCATTAGTGACACACGCCTTTATTCCCAGCACCTGGGAGGCAGAGGCAGGTGGATCTCAGTGAGTTCAAGACCAGCCTGGTCTACAAGAGCTAGTTCCAGGACAGTCTCCAAAGCCACAGAGAAATCCTGTCTTGAAAAACCAAAAAAAATAAAAAATAAAAAAAAATAAAAAATAAAAATAAAAAGGCTTTACAGCCAGCCAAGCCTAAATTAGTCACTACCTGGTCCTGCAAGAGTAGGTAAATAGGCTTAGCCTAGCATGATGGTGCCTGCCTGTAATCCCAGCACTCAGGAGGTGGTAGGTAGCACGAAGACCAGGAGTTCAAGGCCAGTTTGGTCTACTCAAGACCCTGTCTTGAAAAAAAATAAAACAAAACCCCAGAAAAAAACCCAAAGCCAAACTAGAGCTTCTGAATGGTCAGGTCTAAGGTGGGACCTGGTAATTTGAACATTCAAGTTTTCAAGTGGTGCTAATGATGCTGGTTTGGATTTATTATGTTTGTGCATGTGGGGGAAGGGGGCTTGTCACAGCTTTCTGTGAAGTTGGGATAATCTTGTGGAGTTGCTTCTCTCCTTCCACCTTTACACACGTGTTGGAATTTAACTTTGGTGGCCAGGCTTGCAGGACAAGCACCTGTGCCTGCTGAACCAGCTCACCAACCCGATGATTGCTTCTTGTAGTTTCAAGCCACAGCCTTGGCTTCTCTCTTTTTAACTTAAAAAAAAAATTTAATGAATATGTATGGGTTTTTGTCTGCATACTACATGTGTGCCTTCCAGAAGAGGGTGTCAAAGCCCCTGGCACTGGGGTTACAGATGGTTGTGAGCCATCATTTAGGTCCCTGGAATTGAACTTGGGTCCCTCTGTAAGAACAGCAAGTGCTGTTAATCCCTAAGGCAACTCTCCAGCCCTTGGAGTCTCCTTTTATGAATTAATATTAATTTTATTTGTTTGGCATGTGTACCCTCACTGTGAAAATGGAGGTCAGAAGATGACTTGTTTATCTTTCAATGGAGTTTCAGGGATCCAAACTACGTCCTCAGGCTTGGTGGCAACTTGCCTTACCCTTTGAGCCATCTCACCAGCCTTTTATCCCCCCATGTGATACTGAGGATTGAACCTAGTACTTTGTAGGTGCTATGTAAGGAAAAAGCAGTCTACCACTGAACCAAAGCACAGACCTGTCACTGTGACCTGGGAAGTCTTGAACTTTCAATGGTACTAAAGTCTTCCCAAATAGCTGGGCTCTGCTCACCCTCTACAGATAGTTTATATATCCCTGCACCACAAGCACCCCAGATTAACTACTGATCCCAAACTAAGTCTAAGTTGGCTTACAATTAAGAGCCTACTTTGTAACAGGTATGGGTCTAGATACATGCAGTAAACAATGTATGAGATTCACATGTTAGTAGTTGAGGATAATGCAGGACAAATTATGTATTATATGGTGATAAATCTTGCAGAAAAAATAAAGGTCAGCACTTAAAAGATGACATTTAGGGGGCTAGAGAGATGGCTCAGAGGTTAAGAGTATTGGTGGCTCTTCCAGAGGTCCTGAGTTCAATTCCCAGCAACCACATGGTTGCTCACAACCATCTATAAATCTCAGACACACATGCAGACAAAACACTGTATGCATAATAATAAAAAAAGATGACATTTAGTAAAGGGCCAAAGGAAGTGAGTCCATGTGGATGACATGTGATGAAGTGACCCATGCAGGGAGAACAGCAAATGCAGGAACTGAGCAGACAGACACAGGCAGTGAATACACAGAAGTGGAGGAAAACCGAAGAGCCCCGACATCCACAGGAGTTCCAAGGGCCAGATCTTCAGGCCCTTACAATGGCTGCTTTTACTCCAAGTGAGATAGGAAGCTGAGAGGGTTTAGAGTGAGGACGACTATGATCTTCTGTTTTATCAGGATCACCATAGATGCCCAGAATAGACAAAGATCGAAACGGAGAGACTAATTACAAGCATTCCATAACTAAAACAATAAATAAAAAAAGCAGATTGAAAGCCAGGCATTGGTGGCGTACGCCTTTAATCCCAGCACTTGGGAGGCAGAGGCAGGGGGGTCTCTGTGAGGTTAAGACCAGCCTGGTCTCCAGAGCGAGTGCCAGGATAGGCTCCAAAGCTACACAGAAAAACCCCGTCTCGAAAAACCAAAAAAAAAAAAAAAAAGAAAAAAAAGCAGATTGTAGTTTACATCACAGTGGAAGTTGTGGACATGATGCAGAAGGGTATTATTTAGGATTTGTAGTTTGAAAGTAAGATGAAGCCAGGTGTTGGTGGCATACGCCTTTAATCCCAGCACTTGGGAGGCAGAGGCAGGCGGATCTCTGTGAGTTCGAGGCCAGCCTGGTCTCCACATCGAGTGCCAGAATGGGCTCCAAAGCTACACAGAAAAACTGTCTTGAAAAACCAAAAAAATAAATAAATAAGTAAATAAATAAAGTAAGATTAACTGGCTTACTGGGTATGGGGAAGCAGGACTTAGGTGGCAGTCAAAAGCTTGACTTTGAAATGCCTGTTAGAAACCCAGTTGGACACATTCTATACACTTGGAGATATGACTTTGGAGTAAGAGTACAACTGGCTTCAAATCTGGAAGGTTCCAGTGTATGTCAATGGATAGTGAGATGGAGTCTTCATCCTGAGAAAGACATTCAAAGAACTTGAGAAAGTTCTTCAAACTCCTCAAACTCCTGCCCTTCTGCCCTGTCATATCTCTGGCAGATCCAAGGCCACTGGGATGGAAAGAGGGCTGGGACTCTGACTTTCACACCCATTCCCTTAAGCTTTTCAGTGTTTCATGGTTCGAGCCCCCAAAGCAGAGGACGTTTCTAACAAGCAGCTTTCAAATTGTCCTCTCTATTCCTGCACTGTTTATTTTTGGAGACAGGGTCTCTCTCTCCATGTAGCCCTGCCTGTCCTGGAACTTGCTATGTAGAACAAGCTGGCCTCAAACTCACAGAAATTCTCCTGCCTCACAAGTGCTGGGATTAAAGGGGTGCACCACTACACCAGACTACCATAAAAAAAATTCAGAAGTGCACTTGATTCAGAAAAAAGTTAATTTGCAACTATTTACAAGATTTTCCATACGGACCTATGAGAGCTTGGTGGCTAAAGTTGCTTGGAAAATGATGGCACACACATAGACACTACGAACCTGGAGAAATGGAAAGAGTGCTCAAACAGAAGCCCCCCCCCCCAAAAAAAAAGGCTTAGTCCTAATAAAAGCATACAGCTCTTCATAGCATTTCCTGCACCTTCTTCCTGGAGATGCTAGCAGTAGCTCAAGTCTGGGGACGGACATGGCTGTTGGGAAAGAACTGTTGGTCGTTGGCAGCACTTCACCCCAAGAAGGTTGTGGTGAAAACTCCCTGGACCGCAGACCATCGTGGATTTTGCTGCTTCTGGAACCAGAGGTCCCTCCATTTCCGTGCTGGATCCCTTAGAGACAAAGAACTTCATTTCTTTTCCAGCCCGTGTGGGACCGCCTTGGAGCCTACGGGGTGGAAGCTTGACCTTCCACTCCATGAAACACCACCGGCAGGCTCCAAGGGAAGCCTGGGTCAGGGCTGGTCCGGAAGGTGCGTGGGGCTCCGGCGTGGGCCAGGCGCGTTGCCAGGCTGCCGGGGAAGGGCCACCCATCGCAGCAGCCGGCAGGCTCAGCGGAGCGGTCGGCAGGCGACCGCGAGGGGCGGGCGCATCTCCCTCCCTCCCCCTTCCTCCCTTCCTTCCAACCCCATTCTCTCGCGCTTCGCTTTTCCGGGGATCCTCCGCATTCCCCAGCCACCAGCGGCCGCCCTCGCCCTTCTTCCCGCCCCCGAGCCCGCCCTGCCTCTGCAGCCC